CCCCAAAACCCCAAAACCCCAAAACCCCAAAACCCCTGAATTGTACTAGAAAGTTGAGCAAATTAAATAAACCAAGTTATGCAAAATTATGAATGACCAAATTATATATTGTTCTTATATCTCTTCGGAAGACTAGACTTCATCCGAGACATGGGCTCTTGCTTCACACCCATTAGAGTATTATTCAGAAGTGCGCCCTTAATGTTTGCTAGAGATGAAAAGAGATAGCTTACCTTTATCCTTTGTCTTCAGTCGCTCAATCTTGATCATCGGACTACCAGCATCTCTCTGAGGCATAACCAAATTCTCCTTATGTGTATTAATACTCACATTCGGGTCCAAAGTCTTACGAGCCTTCTCTATGGGTTTACTAAAATAACTGCATTAGAGGGTTATTATGCCAATTGCCAAATTGTAAATTTCTCAAATGAAATAGAGGGTACTAGTAAGACGATACCTGGCCTGGTTAGAGATATTTGCCTCACTGATCAGACCACTCTTTTTGCCAATACTCTGAACCCTAGAAAGTTAGGAGACCTAGCCTACATCTTTATTGACTTCCCTCCAAAAGTGCTCTGCCTGCTGTTCCGAAAATTCGATTTTATTTGCTGTAATTTAGGGTCTGAAATCTTTGGAGGAGGGGTCTTTTGAGATAAAATTAGATTCTCCTTCACTGGCATCATACTCTGGTTTGCAATATCTGGTTTGGCCGAAGACATATTCAGACTATCATCATGACGAGCACTGATGTCTGCTATCTCGGGAGTCATTGGCAACTTGTTTGGCTTCTTATGCTTGGTAGAGAGCAAGAGTACTTTTTCATAAATACCCTAGTTATTATCCAAACTTTACTTACTTTATTAATGCTCTTTTTGCTTAGTCTACACTTGTTGTATAACTCCATTTTATTCATCTTCTTTTTTGAGACGTTTAGCTTGCCAGATTTCTTGGCAATCATAGAGATAATGCCACTCATCAATCCTGGCTTTCTCTTTTCCTTCTTAACAGAAGCTACTTGCCTCGGGGGCACCTGCTCTTTAAATCTCTTAAAGCCTGAGGATCCCTTCTTCTTATTTTCCTTAACAAGGTCATCAAAGAACTGGACGTAGCTCATCTCTGTAAGTCTCTGAGGTGTATTGCACAGTCGGATGTTCTGGTGAATCGGGTGTCCGTTTTTCTCTCTCACATCTGGCTTATCCAAGCTTCGTATGTCATAACTAAGCCCAATATTCACTTGACCGTTTCCAATCGCTCTCAACATCTGCATTGAGTTTTTGAAATAACCCGATTTCCTATATTTCTCAGATTCATCGTAAAACTGTGCCTCAGGAGTATACCTATAGTTCCGGCTAGTTGTATCAATTGTTCTAAAATTATGAACATTTTCTTCATTGTTTAAGGAGTTTCTACTCCTCAGATCAGGCAACCCAGGCACCTTAGGAGGCTTCTTTTGTAACCGGAGTCTTGGGTGCTTGAACCGACTTTCTTTTCTAAACCGGGTTTTATCATTCTTCAAAGCTTTCGGTAGCCTATACCGTCCATGTGTTATCTCAGGAGAGAACATTTTCAATAAAATTACTTTATTTGGGGTTTTGGGGTTTTGGGGTTTTGGGGTTTTGGGG